TGAACCGGACAGATGTAAAGTGACTCTGGGGGAGCCTGGCAGGGGGGTCGGTGGAGCGGGACCTTCGTCCCGGAACGGCCCCGCGGTCCCTTGTAACGCCGCTGCGAGAACGAGGTGTCTGGGAATGTCGCGCCGCGTTGGTGCAAGTCATCTGCCATAAGCCCTGGCATGATTCAGAGCAGGGTTCATAGTTCCTTCTTTGTTCCTTTGTTAATCAGTGACGGGGGGAGGCGCCTGCAGAGCTGGCGAACGCGTCCTGCGGGCAGGGATGACGCACGGATTGTCCTAATAAGGACTTGGTTTGAGAAAGGGGCCGGCTCCTCCGAGGAGATAGGGGCAAGGCATAGGGCGAGCAGTTTCTTTTTTAACTGAGGGATGACACAAGCACAAGTCATTTCCTTATTAATCGGTTCAAACCAGTTCTTACAGGAACTGCTGGTGATAAATGTGGGACTTCTCCGAAGTCATTCATTTGGTTCTCAGCGCGGCCCCGGCCGCCTGCCCCCTCGGCGGCTCCGGCCTGCCCTCCCGCCCCCCCTCGGCTCTGCCTTCCTGCTCGCTCCGAGCGCTCTTGGAGCGTTCCGGGAAAGAGGTGCCTTTCGGCAGCGCCCCAGAACAAGACGAAATGCGCTTTATTCCGTGCTTTTCTCAGGCAGCGATGCCCCCTGAGGGGTAGCTCAGGCTGAACTTTGTTCTGTTTGGGTTGAAGTGGTAAGTTTGGGGGAAAAAAAAAAAAAGTTTTTTTTTTGTTTTTCTTTTTTCCTCCCCTATTTTATCTTGTTCTCTGGGATGAACTTTGCATCAGTGCTATTCCAAGTATAGGTCCTTCTCTTCAGAAGCCATTTCAAGACTACTTGGAAGCGCAGAGGGTGAAACTTCACCACCGAGCGGACAGCGGCGTGGCACAGGTAAGGACCTCCCGCCTGCCTCCCCAGCCCACTTCTCCTCCGCTGCCTCCCGAGCCCCCGGGATGGCCGATGCCCATCTGCCAAGCTTCGCAGTGGCCCAGGGAATAGATTAAAATCTCATTTGAGAAGCCACCTGGGATTTAAAAATAATACTGGAATTGCATGCAACTGGGCTTAAACCTTCTGGAGAACGAAGAAGAAAATACAGCAAGACCGGTGGCATGTCTTGCCCCTAAACTGCCTGCTTTGGCAGATAAATTGAAGCAGGAAAGTTGCATTTACATGTGAAGCGGTACAGCATGGGCAGTTCGGAAGCCAGTAGGAGTAGGATCTGTGGCTTAAGGCCAGAGAAACAGAATCCCCGAGCATTGAGGGTTCGCCAACACGGAAATAGGGTGTTGGGAGCTGGCGTGAAGGGGCAGGAGTGCCCTTTCCTACAAAAATGTGTTTTGACAGACATACCCTGACTTTTCCATGGGGACAGGGCACTTCTGACACGAAATTCCTCGGGATACTAAAGCAGTTTTAGATAAAATCCATCAGTCTTAACTCACGTTACACATATGCTTGTAGCTCTTGTAAATGCTTCTTTGCCCATTTCTTACACCGCAAGACACTAAATTAGGGAGGATCAGGCTGGAATAAGTAAATATGCAGATTCCTTTTATGCACATGGAAGTAGTTTCTGTGCAGTGCATTGCTGCCCTCCTTTGACAAAAAAAGACAAGAGTAGCCGTGGAAAACGCTGGAAGTGGGACCGCTGAGGTCATCGCATTAACTTCTCGGGACACCCCAAGAATCGGTTACTAATTGGAAGATAACGCAGGATCTGCAGTTTAGGAAAAAACCCGTTGTTAACCACTGACCGGCTTGTTTTCTTTGCAGTGAACCCGACAGGGAATGACAGTCAGGGTTGCTAATTCTGAACTCTGAGCTGTTAGCAGAGAGGAAACAATACTGGGAATAATAAACTGCTTCCCTAGCACACTGTAAGGACCAAGGATTGCTCTGCTGCCCTGCGGTGTGTTTGGCAGGCCCTGCGGCATTGTCCTTCAAGGGACTAAAGTCAGCTTTGCAGAGGGACCTGCAGGAATCTGTCAGCTTGCACTTGGTTCCTGTTTTTAATTCAATAAATTACATAATTTTTAAAAAATGGTCAGGCTTTTCCCTTTCACCCAGAGAATGGCAGATCCTCCACTGTGCTGCCCACTAATTTTATTTTTCTTCCTTCTTCTGTTTTGTCTCTTCAGGGGGAAAACTGGCTGTCCTGGATGTTTGAAAAACTGGTGATTGTCATGGTTTGTTATTTTATCTTATCTATAATCAACTCCATGGCCCAAAGCTATGCCAAACGACTGCAACAGAAGATGTACTCTGAAGAGAAAACCAAATGAGCTTGGGGAAAAAAAAAACGCTTGGGATGGGTTTTAGCAGACACGAAAAATGACACATCTTTCCATAGGTTTAAAAAGTCAGCATTATTCAAAATGGGGGAAAACTTTTTAACATCAGTTTTCAACTATAACAAGTTTTTTATTTAATTTTGAAAGTAATTTGGATATTAGAGCAGACGTTTCATTGACAAACTCCTAAATGTTAAGGTAAGGTATAAACGCTTTACCAGACTGAGCTGTATTATACAGGATGGACAGTGTGATGTTAATGGTATTTAACACAAATGTTGTCCATCCCAGTTAATTGCAAAACTGATGATTTAATACTCCGTTTCCTGATTTAACTTCAGATTATCTGAGGGTAACCTTTTATTTTGAAGGGTGGCAGATTTGGTTTTTCCATAACTCTCGAGACCATCAAAAATATGTATGTAAATGAATACAGATTTGGTACAAACTGTTGCATGTCCCTCGTGTTAAGGCTGTTCCATCTGAATTCTCCAGTGTCCCATCGCATTGCACGTGCTCTCGGTTGGAAAAGCCACAAACTTAAACTTCATGAAGTTAGCAGAGATGATTGATGTCAAAATGCTGAAGCTGACATTTTTTTATTCTGTATATTTAGAGTGAAGTTAAGATAAAACTTTATAAAGTCATCTTTGATCATTCCAGAATTTCTTGTGTCAGTCTTTTTAAGCTGTTTCTTTTCCTCTTCACCTTTGTATACTCAGTTTCTTTAGTTTCTTTATTGAGCCTTAATCCCATGAATCGCATGCTTCACTCATCCTTCCTGCTCAGATGGTGCTGAAGCCCTTTGTTCTTCTTTTTCTCCCCCTCTTAAGAAGTTCTTACTTAGCAGAGGAAGTAGAATGCACCTCACTTGCTTGAAGCCTGGCTCAGTGGTTAAAACAGACAAGTTACATAGGGAACAGCATTTGTTACCATAAATTTTTCTGAGATGTTTGCCACCGGTCCCCGCACTGTGGGCAGTGAAGGAGAAGAGAGTGAGGAAGAGTAGAGATTCCTGCCGAAAACAGAGTTGATGTCAAACCCAGCAGTGATGCAGAGAGCCTCAGAGAACCTTAAATGTGGGCTTTAAAAGTCAGATATATTTAAAACATTGTTATGGATCAGTGTCTGTTCCAGTTCTAACATACATGAACATAACAAATACGAAAACGGATCTTTTCCCTCTTCAGTAAGTAGGTGTCTGTTCCACTGCTACGGCATCCGTATTGCTTCTCCTAATTATTGAACTACTGTGTATTTTTATCCTAGGGGTAAGTAATGAAAATTAATTGGACTTTCACGTAGTGCTATCCCAGGGTGGCAGGTGAGCGCAGAGTTAGGCTTTGCTCTTGCTGCGGTTGGGTTTGTCCCTGCGTTAGGTTAGGGCAGCTCTCGAGCAAGGTGTGAGAACATGTATTTTCTTCAATCCTGCCTGAATGTCCTCTTGTGTTGCCAACCGTCGTGACATCTCCATGGCTGTACCATCCTGTCGGATAGCTTATCAGACTGATGTTGACTGTTGGATCTCATGGCAACAACAGTCGGTAGGCTGTCTGACATTTTGGTATCTCTCATCTGACCGTTCGCTCATCCATCTCCAGCTGTTTTCATTGAACATCAGTAGCATATCCGTGTGTTTAAGGTTAGATGGAAACGAGCTCGGAAGTCGTGCGGTGCAGCAGCCCACGTATGACACAGCTCTTAAGTTTCCTCTGGGTTGTGCGTGAGGTTTGTGATGTTTCTCTTGTATGGTATGTAACTGTCGACGGCGTTACTGACTGAGGGGGAGGCTTGGAACACGGGCTGCTCTCCGCAGAGCTGCTGACTAGTGTCTGAGTGCCGGGGGGTAGTACCAGACAGCTAAAAGCACAAAGGCCATTAATTCACCCCTGTTGATTTGTAAGAGGTGAACAGAGTTTCTTAAGTCTTGGCCCTAGCAGCTTCTTCACTTCTGAGCCTAAACATGGTCTTTGACAATAATGTAGCAAAGAACTTGCTCTAAAACAATCCACACTCCAAAAATCATAGCTCTGTTTGAGACTTCACTTTTTTCAGTCTGTTAAAACTTTCATTTAGCGTATTGTAAGAGATCGTGTCAGCAGTTCATGGCTGTGTCTTTCATTCTGCTCCAGGATACTCGGATTAGTGAACCAGCCGTTTGCTACTTCCCCTACTTGTAGCAGCAGCTTTTCCCCTCAAATCTGCCCTCCGCCTTAGGGCCACTGGTAGTTCCTTCGCACGCTTCTGGTAGCGCCTCAGAGCATCTCGTGAGAGTAAATGGTATGCTGAGGCCCCTGTATGCTCTCAGACTGGAATGAGGAGACTGCGTAACGGTAATTAAAAAGGGAAAAACCCCTTCTTCCTGCAGCTCGAGCCAATAAACTCTACCTTTCCAAATGCTTTAGCGGTCTCCTCCTAGTTACACCTCCTTGCCTACTGAACACTCGCTGGAAGAACTGAAAGCTCTCTCCCACTTCAGTACATGTTTTCATGCGTACGGTGCGAGGTATGGATCTGTTGTTCCGCGGCTCCTGTTTGTGCGTGTCCATTCCGATGAGCTGCGCCGTTCCTTTGAAGCCTTCTTGCGCTATTTGAAGAAGGGACTGGTGGTTTGACTCCTTCTACCTGTTCAGCTGCTGGGAGATAATAAGACTTGGTAAAAGGTAAAAAAATAACAGAAACAGAAGTTATGCAAACCTGATGAGATTTGCAGATGGATAGTTTTATGTTGGCTTAAATAAAGAAATAACTGTTTCCTGGTGTTTATTGCAGCTGGATTGTTTCCATTTCTATTTGCTGAGCTTGGTTATGCTGTGACACTTGTTGTGCCAGGCATTCTCCAGTGAGTGTGAAGGTACATCTGCCATGGTGTTGTGTGGCATCAAAGCGTTTTCACCCAGACCCGCTCCCGTGCAGTGTCAGTAGGAGGCGAAGCGGAAGGCTGGCCGTAGTGCCAGCCTAGCAGTGCAGAGCAGCGCCCCAGCGCTGAGGTCAGGTAGGACTGCAGCTGATCCTCCTCTCCATTCTTTACTTGCCCTGTGACTTGTCACCACGGTGGCGTGACCCTCTCCCTGGCAGCCGCCGCGGACCCCCATCAGGGCAAGAGCTGTGTCGCTGTGAGCAGATCTAACAAGGTCGCGCTGGGCTGTGCCAGGCCGAGCCAAGACACCGCCACAGGCCATGGCAGGTTGAATTACCCAGTTCCACCCTTCCCTTGGCTCCATCCAAACCGTCGGGATGCGTCCTGCTCCCTGTCTCTGCGTGTGGTCTGACCTCCAGCCCAGTGTCGCGCTGTGCTTCCTGCTAAAGCAGCCCCCTCTGAACTCACCCAGCTTGGGGAAGATACTTGTCATTAATCCTTGAAGATGGCTTAATGCTCTTCCAGAAAGTCATTCCCTGCCGTGCTTTTGGGTCTCATTATTTAATTTGTTAGAATCAGCCTCCCTCTCGCTGCAGGCAGCGCTAATTGCAAGCACAAGTACTGGGGATGTTCCCCTGATTATCAAGCACAAATATAAATATTGGTGAACAAAATAGATTGCAGGTGTAAAAGTGGTTGATTGGGTGTGTTCTTGGAGGTAGAAGAAATTCAGTTTTCTTTGAAGCACATCGTTAAAAAATACTTGTAATCAGCAGTTAAAAGGTTGAGTGCAATTATAAATAAGGTAATTGAAATTGCTCTTTGGAGATTTAAAATTCTAGGGGGTTTTGTGTAAATTTGTATTTTATCTTTTTGGAGGGGAAGGAGAGAAAACAGTCAGTACTTTGCCCAGCCTTCTCCAGATTGCAGCACCAAGTGGAGTGTGGCAGTGGGAGAGCAAGAGCCAGGGAGGGCTTCCTCGCCCCGCTGAGAGCGGGCTGCGCCCCGGGGGGGATTGAATGCCGGAGCGTGGTGGGCTCCGTAACCTCCTCAGGAAACGGGAGTGGAGCAGTCGCCTTCCCCGTGAAACATGCTGCTGATGCATTCAGAACTAGGTGGAGGGTCAGTATTTGCAGATGCTCTTTGAAACTTATTTTTAAAAGGATTATACTGAAAAAGTCTGCTGTGACTTTCCTAATTCAAGGCTCTAATTGAGGGCGTGAAAGGCCAGCGTTTCCTTGTCCGCTTCACTCGCTCATGGATGCATCACGCAGCTTTCGTAAAAGGCAGCAGAACACTGGTGTTGCCACCGTTTGGGCACGAACGGGAGAGGCTCTGACAGCCTGGGTCAGTTGTGAAAAGAGTGCAAATGCAGAAACTGCCGTCAGACACCCAAAAGAGGTCTGCCTGCATCGCCTGCCAGGCACGAGCAAACGGGAGGAGCCCAGCATCTGCGACGGGCTTCTCGGCACGGGTCAGGAATTCAGCCAAGTGGTATTTCTGGCTGTGGGTCTGGCCGTTCCTCTGTGCTGAATTTAAAGCGAAAAGGCTGTTGAGCTGTGGAGTCACTGATCACGATGTTGTGTGAAAACCAGTACGCAAATGTGAACCTGTTAACTGGGCCAGGCTTTGGTTTGCCTTTAACACTGCCCTTTGCTGTGCTGGAGGGGTTTTTATGGCTATTATTCGCTGCTGGAATGATTCAAAGAGCACCGGCTACGTTGGCATCGAAGCAAAGGTCGTCTGCCTTTCAACCCTGCTTAACAAGTTCAGATATGGGTAAGTGTGCTGCACCTTCCGTCTTCCATGGGGGTTACTCCCAGCTTGATTGTTCTTCTGCTTTCCCAAGAAGCTTAAATGAGTTGCCCAGCAGCTGGTAATAAGGAAACTGGCCGTTATTTCCTGATGAAAGGCAGGAGATAGGGCTTGTCAGCTCAGCGTGTTGTCCCTGCTGGGTAACCGCCCCGCGCCGCACCCTCCCATGGCCGCAGCCTTTCTGGTAAAGGGTTGGGGTCTCCTCTGGTGATGGCTGCACCAGGCCTGCTTGAGGGGTTCTGCAAGGGAATGGCTGTGTGTTTAGTACATGTCATTTAGGGCATAATCCACCAGCTTTGGGTTTGGTTTTAATGTCGACGGGACAGAGCAGGTCACACAGGTCTGGTTCTGCCTCCTTGTGAGAGGTGATTGGAACATTCTGTTTCCTTGGGGCCTTGGAAGTGTGTCACTTAGCTGCTTTTTGCTGTCAGGTGGTCACTTCCCTAGGAGGTCTCAGATGCAGTTCTGTGAACTACACTGGAGGTTCCGTAGCCTGGTGTTGCAGAGACTGTGACCACCGGCATCGGTGCAGGGAGTCACCTCCTGCCTTCCATGCACACCAGCCGAGCCGTGACGTTTCTGAGCTCTAAAGCCTTTGCACTGGACGGTGGCACCCATTTGGTGGAAAGTGCAGCCAGAGCTTTGAGGTGCTTGAGCACAGGCACCCCACTGCCCCGTGGGCCTGGGGAGGTGAAACTCTGCCCTGAGCCATTTGACAAACT